ATATATATATACACAGACTTATTCAGTTAGTTTGTTTTCTAAGGAGTTAAATGAAAAGAATGTGTGCAAAATGGTCTTACTTTAAAAATCACCAGAGGACTCATTTTTTACATTGTAACAAGAGGGCTTTTTATGTGAAAGACACTAAATCTGTTTGAATTTATGCTGATTTTGCTTTAAATACAGTATTATGATTTCCTCATTGTTTGTGTTTCTTTCTACCCAGATTGCAACAGAAGAAACAAACACACCACACAGAAACCTAAACGTCTCGCTTTGTTATTTTTGATCAATCCCAGATAAGACTGGTTGCATCAGTAAAAAAAAAATTGTCAGGATCTGAATTGAGAAGCAAATTGGCAGCTGCAGATTTTGGAAAAAATGCCAGAAATGCTGAGCTGATGTCTGGGAAAAAAAACAAAAAAACAGGAAAGCAAACTGTCTTTTTAGAAAAAGTTGTTTCACTTTGTAATTTATTTATGATCAGATCTTGTGGGTGTATAAATCCTTAAAGGTAACATTTTAAAATATTAGCTGTCAAGCTAAGAACACCCTTATTAAAAGAAAAGCTGCTGTGTTTTCTTTATAGAATCAACTTTTCATTCTTAGAATAAAATTTGAGACCAATTACAGAAATTAAACAGGAGAAAAAAATGGTCAAGATGTTAAGTTTATACATGAAGACAGTTTGTGGAGCTCTGCCTCTTGCAGGCAGTAAGCATTGAGCAGGAGCTGATGTGGTTCTGTGATATACTGGACATGCTCAGTGATATACCTGCTGACTGGGAAACAAAGAGGCCCTTTGGAATGACCACTTTATCTTCCGAGTTCCTGGCCCAGTCAACCATGCCTTTACGACCTTTCATGGGGAAGTTGATGTCAGTCATCACGGACACAGCAGGAAGTCTCTGGATGCTGGCCACTGCAGTATTTGGACAACACAGACAAATACAAATGACTGTCTACGTGAAAACCACCTCGTGGACAATTCTTCCAGATATTGCTGAACAATTAAGTGGTTACTTCTGATCACATGATTGCCATTTTGTTCTACATGGAAGCCACTGCCCAAATAACTTAAAGTGGCTTGTGTYTCTTGAGGATCTGAAGGCCTGGATGGTGCTAAATCTTTTGAGTTTTAATGAAACCAAGACTGAGGTTGTGGTTTTTTGATGGTACTGTTGGCCACTCCCCTGTAGATCTAGGTTCCTTGACTCAACACAACAAATAGTTAGTGAGGAATTTGGGAGTTGAAATAGATCCTGAACTTAATTGTTAGAAGGATATTTTATCATTTGAGGCAGCTAGCCAAAATAAAACCCATCATTCCAAAAAGACATTTTGAGACAGTAATTATCACCACCCGGCTGGATTACTGTAATGCACTTTATCTGGGGTCAGTGGGTCCTCCGTTGCCCGACTGCAGAGGGTCCAACACGCTGCAGCGAAGCTTTTAACCAGCACACGTAAATATGAGCACAGTTCTCCCATTTTAGCTT